CCTGCTGAAAGCACGAGTCTTGTCACTAGAGCCTTGCTTGATTGAACGGATCTGCAGAGACAGTAGCAACCCAGAACCTTGCCCAGCAAAATGTCGCCCAGTCACAGGTAGCACAGAGCAGTAAGGAATATCTGCCTGCGTAACCGAAGATGACAGAGAAGTGCCAGAGTAAAACATATCTGGGTTTTGAGTCCTTCAGTCTCCCAAGACCCACCACGATGTCAGTTCAGAAGGTGAGCTGGTGGCATGTCAACTTGGGTACTGGTAACAATCTAGCTGTGACAACACGGGATTTCGAAAGATTACACAAGCCTTTGTGGGAAGTCGGCAAGTCTTTAGCACCAGGAACACAACAAGCTGCTGCAGTCAGGCTTTTACCGGTAGCCCAGCTAGTTTGGGTCAGTGTAAATAAAGAGGTGGTTCCCAAAAGGCTACTGTCACATCTTTGGGTGTTATAGCCACATACCAAATACCGGGGTTGATAATACTGTCCAAAATATTTCAGAGATCTGGTTTTTATGCCATGGTATTTAGTGTAGATTGACAAAGGCAGGAATATGTGGATTCAACAGTTTCTTCCCTATCTGTCGTCAGCTGTCGTTTGATCCTGGCTCGCTGCTGTTTGCAGTCTGTCTGCCTTCTTGTAAAGATGAACTCATCACAATGAAAATGTTAGGGAAATTACAAGCTGCCAGGACTATCTTGCAAAGCTTTGAAAGGCAATATAGGTTAGTACATTTGTCTAGACATACTAAACATATTTTTCAGTGTGTCAGTATTTGAATTTTTCCTAATTATCAACCTATCAAATTATTTTTTACTAAATATATTCAGTTTGTCTTAAGAATTTCTGAGGCTGTGAAACCCAAACCATATCAGAAAAGTTACAATCTGCAGCATTTCGTAAGTACAGAAATGTTAGTAGATGGTTCCTTCATCATGCATCTCCAATTCAGCCTCATTACCACCAGATACTGGAAGAGCAAACTGCAATTTTTTGTGCTTTCCCAAGTCTGTAATTCCAGTGTTTCCTACATTTCGACCTTATGAACAAAACTAGGCTCTCCGCATTTGGAGTAACGTAGGTGCTTAGCTCTAAACGGGAGATAATCCAGTTATAAAAAGCTTATGGTTATTTGGTCTGAGGTCACCAAAGTACAATCCTACATGTGAATAAAAGTGAGGGAAGCTGCATGGGACCTGTGTAACCTAGACAAGGAGTAATCTGACTGGCAGGTGACGGAGGTTTGGTTTATATTCAGAAGTTTTGCTGATTTAGCAACAGCAGGACTATAACAACATTCACCAATCAATACAGCTTTGCTGGTGAAAACTGCAGATGTAGTTTCAATGGCAAAACATCCTTTGCAGTTCTGATATAAGCAATACATAGTTATTAAAGCAATTTAAATTGGATCCCGTCCCTAGGAGGGTTTACCAGCTCTTCTGCTGTAGCTACACTGGCAAACTTTCTATTCGAGGCTGTTCTACAGATCAGTTACTGAAGAGTGCGAGGCTGATGACAGCAAAGCTGCTCTGGAGGCTTGACGAGAGGGTAAAGCTTTTCGCCCTTTGGGAGGAACCGCAGAGAAACACTGTCTGCTTCCTTAAGTGAATCTCGGCTGGAGAACAAAGGACTTCAGCTCGTGTACAGAGAGGCAATTTACATCTCATTAAACCAATATTTAAAAATCTACACTGTGTTTGTTTCTTTAGTGTTTGTGTTTTTCATTCCCAAACATGTCAAAAAGGATGCATTTTCAATTAATTTTTTTCACTTTTCCAGAATGAAAAGCAGCAAGAACATTTCGGGGTGCCTAGAGATCCTTTTTTCCTATCCTTGCCTAGCTGTAAAACAGCGTAAAGCAATTTTATGAAACTTCCCAAGAAAATTCAGCTCAAGCATAAACACAAGTAGGAGTATTTTCAAGTACAGCTACAGATGTTTTGTAATGTAATAAATTCTTGAAAGACCTTGATATATTTTCTCGTGTAGTACTATAATTTCACAACTATCCAGCAAAACTTCTTTAATTATCAGTTGCTGGTGATTCTCAAGCCAAGCGTGCTACATGTAGGTATAGTCTAGAGGCTTTTCAGTGGGTTTTATACCAGCAAAACCCCCAGCTGCAGCTGTAAAAAAGAAAAACCAACCAACTTCAACTGACAGCTATGTCAACTGGGAGAAGAAGAGGTGGGACATAGTTGTACCAGAAGCATTTCTAACTAATGATTTCGGAAAAGCTATGCTTTTGATAGGAGGTGGTTTCAAGAACACATCACGAAGCGTGCTTTTGCAGGCATAGATAAATCCACACTCTGCACATATTGCTGGTACGACGTAATTCCTGTAATAATAAACAACTTTTCATTAGAGAGCCCAAGATTCAACAGGCATTTCTGTTGCCACTCTTAACGAGCTGTTTCAAGAATTGCTTACAGCATGGAGCGCTCCCACAACTCATCAGCATGGGGGTCTCACAGGCAGCTTCTCGCTGACAGCCCGTAGACCTTGCTGAGGTTCTTCTCGCTTCATACCAAGACCAGTAAAGACAAACTAATAATATCCTAAAATACTGGATCTGCTCAGGCACGCAGGGCGTACTCGATGTCAGGGAGCCGGGCATGTTCTGGAGGGTAGCAAACTGCTTCGCCTCGCATCAGGCTGGGTCCTTTGGCGATTAGTAAAGAGCAAATCTGGTTTTGAGGGTGGCCTTGGACCACGTGACATCCTCATCAAGGCAGTTTTGCTTGTATTGTTGGTTTTGCTCCTGTAATTAGTATGAACGAGCATTCTAACTTACAAATATAGTCGTTTTGGGAGGAGCTAGACTTCCCAACCCCCATGTTTCTTCCCTAGGAACAGAACAATATGTACTGTTTTTGCCAAATAAACTGGGTTTACATTATGGCTCGATTCCTGGTAAGTAATTAATATTCTTCATGGACAGCGTGTCTTCAAATAGCTAGCTAATATTTGCACCGAGAAAAAGTCTTACAGTCCCAGCTTCGGGCGGCCGGAGACCAGAAACTTTAGTTTCATATTCTTATCTTGTGGTAACACACTGTAAAGGCAACGTGGTTTGTACAAAGTACGGCATTTCGAGGCATACAGGAACAAACATAAACATACAATTCAACGGGCAAATAAAAGATGCTGTTGCGTTTCCTGTCCCCTCTTCCCTGTTTTGAAGGTCACATTTTTCAGAAAGGGGATACAAATACCAACGTAGAAATGAGAATACGTTTTTATCCAGGTAAAATGGCAAACAGCAGTTTTTACCAGCAACTTGCCAGGTCTCCGTTTTTGCTATCTTGCTGCCGTATTTGCAGAAAAAAAAATATATATATGCATACATATATATATATACACACACACATAAAGTTTTGAGGGAGGTATATATAATTTGCATTTAAAAAATTATCTCACAGAATGTGTTTTTCCAAGTCTATTTTAATGAAGCATTCACCCATGGCCTACTTTCAAGTGCCGACAGTTCTCCACAGTTAGTAAGTAATACGCAGTGGGAGGAAGGAATGGCTATACCTTAAAATGCTTTGCAAGCACGTTAACTTCCACCTTTGGGCAAATCTCAAGACCAAGAGCAGGTTCTGTTACTTTCGACTGTACCAGCTCTCTCCTCTTAGCGTAGCGACAAGGAGAAAGGCCGCTCTGTTTAGACCTAAAGGCACCGGTGCGAGGGGCGGGCAGTTACAAGGCGCAAGACAGATGGGTGTCTGGAGAAGCAGGGAGGCCAGGGTCACTCGCTGAGGCAAATGAATTCCCACCAGGTAGGGGAAATCCTGTGTCTTGGATCAACGGGCACGGAGCAGCGTGGGCGCTGACACCGGCCCTCCCGGCTCCTCGTGGCACAGCCACCCGGGATGGGGACAAGGCCGCGCTTCGCTGACGGGCAATGCGAGCGCTGCGGCCCGCACTGGCACGACTCGCTTCGCCGGGGCGAGTGGTTTCTCCGGTGCGGGGCTGCC